ATAACAATTCCCTATCCATCTATCATTAATAAATACAATTAGTCGGTTAAAATCGCTGATATCAAAACAGGTTATACCAAAAGATAACTTACGCTTGGCCAGTCGCTATGCCCTGGTCCGCACATTTCATAAAAAACCGAAACGCCAAATCATAATCCGCTTCACACTCAATCCCAAAATATAAAAATGTTCCCAACTGACACTGGGCAACACCATCATTCATTCCTGCCGCAATTTCATATAATCGCTTCGATTCTTTATAATTAACGGTTGTTCCAATGCCCAAAAAATAAAGGAACGCCAACAATGAAATATATTTTGGCTTCTCTCCTGTGATTGTCGTCGATGTTGGTGAGATTTCAGTCTCGAGAAATTCTATTATTTTCCATGGTTCAATGTTATCATGTTTGTATATCCATTTAGTGATTTCTCTGACTAATAATTTGTCAGCTCCAAAATAAATGTTCAAATGATTTACTATATTGAGAAGAGAGTCGATTATTTGGTGTATTGTTGGTGGGGATGATTGAAAAGTTGTGCAAAGTTCCCATTCTTCGTGGATTAATGATTTACTACGAATTGTTGCGAAATCTGGTGGCGCTATGGCTTCGCTATGTTTTAATTTTACAGTCTCATTTTTGGAGCTTGTTTTCTTTCGCGTCGATTCTGATATTTTGTTTATTCTCGAATTTGTCTTTTCTGATTTTTGCTTCTTTAATGATGAAATATGTAACCTTGATTTAACCGCTCCCATTGCGTATTCAATAAAATTACCGTTACATATTCCACCACCTCCTTAAATATTCACAAATACTGCACTACATTATAAATTTTACAAAATATTATGACGTATACTTTGTTATCGGATCAAACAATATTATTGTTATCGTTATTATGATTTTTTGCTTTTATATCTCGATTTAACTTTATGAAGTAAGAAATGTACGTTTGTTTATGGTTTTCTAACCAATAACACATCGATATAGAGAAAATCTTATTCGTTATACTAAATTACATAGTCAATATACGTAATATCTCCGATACTCCATAAATACAACGAGTTCTTTATATAAATGACTCGCTTTTAATGTACTGGTACGCTCGCTTATTACATGTATTTTTTTCTTTTATGATTAATATAGCTTTTTTGTTAGTATTAATCAATATTATTTTTTATGGCCGTTACCGTTCTAAGCCATATCAAATTAACTGAATGAATCAGGCCAATTGCTTTCTACTCTAGCATCGTCATATAGCAGTGCAGTATACATGTACTAACGCTAATAAGTATAACACACTTTAACACAATACCGATACCCCTAGTACATGTACCATACTCGCTATCGCTACGTATTTTGTAAAGAAATAAAACTCCTTACCTGACCTGATTACTTATACGTATCAGTATCGGTATGTAATACAGGTACGTATAAGAACTCCCATACATGTTGCATACATGTCTGCGTCATAATTCTAGAACATATGAACTGTTTAATTGAGTATGGTGCATAACGATAACGATAACATCTAAAGTCATCAAACATTTGTATTTTATAAAATGTATAAACTTCTTTACTAAGAAGTAAATACCAAATTTATCCGTGAATATGCTCAGAAAGGACCTATTCTATCATATTCACGGATTAAATTTTATATTTACTTTTTAGTAAAGATGTTTATACATTTTATAAAATACAAACGTTTGATGACTTTAGATGTTATGCACCATACGTATACCGATACATCGAAGGCAAGTGCAGAGATATTTTCTAGGACATATCTCAAGATTCCTTGCAAACTATAAGTTGAGACACAAATTTAAAGGAAACTCAATCGAATTATTGTCCATTTCAAAGACGGATATTCAATACGAAGTATATGATTTAATTTTGTTCTTTTTGCATCATTATCGTTATTTTTCAAATACTTTGCCGAACGCTCCGTTTCAAGTCATGTTGTCGATTTTAGAGGGAAAATTTATTTATCGTTAGAATTAACTGTGGTCACGGATCCGCTGTTTTAGCATAGTTTCAAGAATCCAAAATATGCGGAGATTTTATTAAAATACGTATGCACAAACTCAATAGAATTTGCTCAACAGAAATAGAATAATGTACCATTGTCTTATTTTGATTTTCGAAAGGCTTGTTATGCTTGAAGTTTAAGGACTTTATTAAGCGTGAGATATTTTCAAGTTCTGTTGTGGACAGCAGTTTTTTGACAACCAACCTTTCACACTTTCTGCTAGAATGATTAAGGTAATTTCCACGATATTTTTTTCTTTTACGGATACTTTATCGATTAGAATAATCTAAAGTCTTTTGTATGAATATACAAAAATGATGTGCAAAGATTATTTGAGGGTTAGATTAGTTGTATTTTGCAATTGTCAATTGGAAATAACTATGTTTATTTCATATTAGCACTCACTCCACGTACGTACGTTGCGATATAAATAGATAAAAACGAAGATAGTAATCTAAATATATTGTAACATGTAATGAATGATGAGAATTTATTTCTGGAATATCCTTAGGTTAATGATTCGACTTTTATGGTCACATCAGTTGTCTTGTTCTCCTCTGAGAGATGGCTAGTTAATGTTTCCGACTCTACGACCGCCGCGACATCTTTCTTGTCTTCCTCTTGAAGCTCCTGGACAAGACTTGGCAAAAGAGAAGCAAATAACTGTTTCAATTCTTCATCATTTTGTAGAACTGATAAAAGATCGAAGGGAATGATTCTTGTTCTATTTTCAATTTGAGCAACATTTCCAGACAACTCCATAATTTCGGTTACCAAGTATTCAATCACGGCAGCAACGTAGATAGGAGTATTTGTCTGAATCTTTAGCCTGTTCTTAAATGAAGGCTGGTGAGGACCTGTAGCAAGTAGACGATGAAAACGCCCAATCGGAAAAATGAGACCGGTTTTTTCTTTTCGACTATCGGACCATGTTTTCTTTGAAGCCATGTTTGTTGAAGCCATGTTTGTAATTTATTTTAAAAATCAATAGATTTCTTGAGAGAAATGTGTATTTGCGTGTGTATTTAAACGTGACTTTGTTTTTATAGACAATAACGATAAAAGATGTGAACGGCAAGTGTTGATATATTTTCACGTTAATCAAAGCGAAAGATTTGTTATTGGTTGATAGCGATAGATAACATTATATAAAAATTACCTAACTATATAAAGAAATTTATTATGCCACAAAGTTACTGTGACGGGATGGGTGCAACCGAATTAGCCACCTTCCCAATTAGTGATAATGTGTATGTTTTAGAATTCATCGAATTATACGACTAAAGATAGCAATATAAATACACGCGTATTTTCAATGCAGATTGGAATACAGTACAGTGACAACTGGCAATAAATACATACGTACGTATTGTGCTCTTAAACTAAATCACAAAATTATTTTCAAATGCAAATAATTACGTAAATGGTTTTGTGTTTAAGTCTGCGTTATTTAATGAAATTCATAAAATTTGATCTTACATTATGATAAAAATAGCTAGATGTCTTTTTCAAAAAAAGTATCATATATAAAACCAAATGAGACTTCGCAAAAAAGTCGAGTAAAATGGCGAGAAGTACTCAAATCCAAGTCTCAAATGAAGAAAAAATTTTGTCAAAAGAACTTGAAAGTTTTTACAATGTAACATTAAAGACTAGTAAACAATCAAAAACTGCATTCAAAGATCATAACACTTAGAAGAAGATTTTAACTTGACTTACTCTTATTTTCACAAGTATAACAGCAAAAGTAGATACAATCAATCTATGCCAGTTTTCTTTTATTTTTATTATCAGTATAAACTAGAAGCATCATATCATGCCAATAAAGCATTTAATATTTCTCTGGAAGCTGTAGATGAATTGGATATGGAACACCTAAAATATCAAGAATATATCGAGAAAGTAGTAAAAGCTGGACATGGACACTCACAAGGGGCTTTAAGCACGAAGAGCAGAAAGAAGGTTGTCTCTTTAATTATTAATTTGTTTAGAGAACAATCTAAAACCATCCAATACTCTAATGCTTTGAGTTGCAAAGGATTTGTATCCAAACATTCGACCACAAAAATGCATTTCCAAATAGTTTTGATAAGTTCTATAATATATTATACTTTTTGTTCAGTATAATACTTAATCTGATTTTTTCATGATACGTAATATTAATTCATATGATTTTAAAATTAAAATATTTTTTATCTATTAAAATTTTTTACTATATATTCAATTTGCTTTTTTTAAAGTTGTAAATAAAATACTTAATTTATTTTCAATTCACCATTCAATTCAATTTGATTTTGTGAAATTACAGTTCTTAATCATGATGTATATAAGTACTTATGTTGCAAGTAGGAACGGATATATACGTATATGTGGATATGCATCATAATAACATTCATATGAAATATATTCAGAAATACATGTATTTTTCTGGAATATCTTCAAATTTTATGTTAACCAATAATTCAACTTTTATGGTCGTCGCATCAGTTGTCTTGTTATCTTCTGAGATTTCTGGAATATCTTCAGGGTTTATGGTCGTCGCATCAGTTGTCTTGTTACCTTCTGAGATTTCTGGAATGGTCGTCGCATCAGCTATGTTCTCCCCTGAATGGTTAGCTAATGATTCAAACTCCACAGCTGCAACACCTCCCATTTTTTGAACAAGATTTGGCGAAAGAGAAGCCAATAAATTTTTCAATTCTTCATCATTCTGCATAGCTAATATAAGATGACGGGGTAAAATTCTTGGTCTCTTTTCAGATTGAGCAAAATATCCAGATATTTCCAAGATTTCGGATACTAAGTATTCAATTACGGCAGTAACGTAGATAGGAGTATCTATCGGAATCCTTAGCTTTAGCTTCTTATCGGATGAAGGCTGGTGAGGACCTTGAACAAGATGATGATTAATACGCCCAATCGGAAGAATGAGACCGGTTTTTTCTTGTAGATTATTAATCCAATTTTTCTTTGGCTATTTTTTAGGAAAAAAATTGTGATATTATATATGTGAGGCTGACTGCACATGGTAACACTCCTGCGTTGAAACATAATCAGAAATATTCACTATAATCTACTGTAATATGATCAAAGCAATTATAATAATTATTTTTTCAACCTTTATGTTAACAAATGGTTCAACTTTTATGGTCGTCGCTGAGATTTCTGAGATATCTTCAAGTTTTATGGTCGTCCCATCAGTTATCTTGTTATCTTTGGAGATCTCTGGGATATCTTCAAGTTTTATGGTCGCCACATCAGTTGTCATATTTTCCTCTGAATGGTTAGCTAATGATCCAAACTCTACAGCCGCAACACCTCCCATTTTTTGAACAAGCTCTGGCGAAAGAGAAGCAAATAAATTTTTCAATTCTTCATCATTTTGCATCGCTAATAAAAGATGACGGGGTAAGATTCTTGGTCTCTTTTCAGATTGAGCAATATATCCAGATATTTCCAAGATTTCGGATACTAAGTATTCTATGACGGCAGTAACGTAGATAGGAGTAGCAGTCAGAATCCTTAGTTTTAGCTTCTTGTCGGATGAAGGCTGGTGAGGACCTTTAGCAAGATGATGATTAATACGTCCAATCGGAAGAATGAGACCGGTTTTTTCTTGTAGATTTTTGTTCCAATTTTTCCTTGAAGCCATATTTGTAATTTATTTTAAAAATAAATAGGTTTCTTGAAAAGTGTGGATTTGAGTGTGTATTTTTGTTTTTATAGACAATAACAGCAGTGTTAGAAAATTAATTCAACTTGCGAAACTATTTATCAGAAAATCATCGCCACGCAAACCAAAAATCAATTAAAAAAGTTGATATTTAATATATCGATACTGTTAAAATGACAAAAAATTGATCCGTATGCAGATGGTTTTTATGTTCAATTTTGAGACGCAAATTTCAAGAAATTCCTTTTGTTATATGTGAATATACCATCTCGTTAATAAGGATAAAGAGCACAGCAAAAAAATTGCCGTCTATTCATAATTTGATTTCAGTACAGTATTTTTTTTGGCTCCTAATTTTTTGTTTTGCATTTGTATTTTTTTGCTGTACTTTTGCGTGCTCGCGACATTACCATGTCAAAATAGAAACGAAGTACAAAAAGAACAATATGATCTTGGTTCCTGTAATCAAAATGATATTGCGTCCAAAAAGAAAGCATTTAAGTGGTACTTGAAATCAGCGACGGTGGAAACGCAAATTGTACAATATAATTGCGATCCCTGTTATTGAGACGGTACAAAAAAAAAGCATTCAAGTGGCATTTAAAATCAGCAAAGGGTGGAAACGTATTTGGCGAATTGAATTCGGAAGAAAATTACAACATTTACTGATTTTTGAATTTGATTACGATAGGGGAGGAGGGAGTAAATAATAAATATTCAGAAAGTTATATAGTAAGTCAACACGGAAAGTAATGGCGGACAGGTTTTTCGCTAAAAATTCACGAAAATTTGGTATTATATTCTTTAGGATGATGGAAACAAAATTTTCTAAGGTCACAAAGCGTGTTAACATAGTAATATTTGTGGAATCACGTGTTAAAGGTGGCGGACTGGGGGTTACCCTGGTTAAAAAAGTATTTATAAATATTTTTATAAGCAAGTGTGAAAATAATTTTATTAGAATATATTTAAAAATATAGAAAATATATCTGCAATTTAAAAAAATTTTTTAGTTGATATTTATTGAATAAATACTAGTTGAAAAAGGCTTAATTTTGATAAATTTAATAATAAAATATAATAAAAATAATATTTTTATTATATTTTACTATATTTTACTATATTTTATTATGAAATTTATCAAAATAAACCTTTTTTTGATTGGCATTTATTAAATAAATATCAACTAAAAATTTTTTAAATTACAAATATATTTTCTATATCTTTAAATATATTTATATAAAATTATTTTCATACTTGTTTATAAAAATATTTATAAATAATTTTTTATAGCTCTTTCTTTAACTAGAGTAACTCTCAAATCTACCATTTTTAACACATAATTCCACAAAATATTATTATATTGACATGCTTTATGATCTTAGAAATTTTGTTTTTGTTATCCTAAAGAATATAATATCAAATTTTTACAATATTTAAATAATTTCTTGTTAAGATATTGATAAATTTTGGTGAAAAACATTACTGTTATTACTTTTCATATTAATTATTTATGGTAAATATAGAAATTTAAAATATTTTAGTTGTTTCTAAGTAAATAATTCAGTTTGAGTTTAGTTCAAACTTTGACTCTTTCTTGAACTCAAGCCAAAGTCTGATTAAGTTCAGTTTAAATTTTGAATCAAACTCAAATTCAGATAAAAGTTCAGTTCAATTCAATTTATAAAAATACTAATATAAATATGATAAAAAATATCTCTATTTTACTTTTCCAAAAATGATAATTATAGAGAAATTGATTATATTTTCTTCATAATAAATATATTTAATTCAGAATTATCACTTTTGTAATTATGATTTTCAAATAAAAAGAGAGCAATAATAAGAAATTCAATAACAGGAGAGTAATTCTTGAATATTAACAAAACAGAGTGAGCCAACTTTATCTTTTTTATTTATATTTTGACAATCTTGTTATAAAAAACCACTTGAATAATTATGAAAATTTTATTCTCAAAAAGTTCAAATTTTTTAATTTGAAATTGATTAATCAAATTGTAATTTTGTGTGTAATATAAAATTTTGCATTATTTATAATTTTTGGATTTTATTTTCATAATGCCAGCCCAAATTACAATAAATATCAGCCAATTAAATTACAACTCCATGACAAATCATGTTGTTATATGATTTTATCTCATGTCAATTTCCTGAACTATTATGTAAATTAGAAAACTTTGAATTATTTAACCAAAAAAAAATAAAAATTTGTTTTACAAATTTGTAACTTAACTAAAAAATTATCAATCTGTAAATTTTGTAAGATTACTTGTTATTAATCTATAACACTCTATATAAATCGATTCAAAGTGGATATAAAAAAAAACTTCAAATAGTTAGAATCACTAAAAATACTCACTTTTTATCACACTCGCCCCACACATTCATTCTTATTATTTAACTCAATTTGATTTTGTAACATAAAAGTATATGTTGTGCCCCAAATCACAATTTGCCCAATTGACAATTGGAATCTAAACCAAATACATGTATAACCTTCCCTCAGCACTAACCCTTACCCTAACTCTGGTCATATTCTAATTTGAACCGATTGTGGGACACAACATATATATCGATACGTGCTCTAATAAAAGTTGCTTAGACATAACAAGAATAAATTGTATGTTTTTTTACATTAGATCAAAATTTTCTTGTATTCAAGACAATTTTTTGAAATGTAACTTTACTATATATAAATTTATTGTGATTATAGAAGGATAAAAATTATGTGATGTTATAGATGATTATACTGGGAGAAAAACTGTACATAATAATACTCATGCGTTGAAACCTAATCAGAAATATTTGCTATAATCTATTATAATATGATAAAAGTAATCATAATGAATGATGATAGTTTATTTCTGGAATATTTTCAAGCTTTATGTTAACCAATGATTCAACTTTTATGGTCGTCGCATCAGTTGTTGTCTTGTTATCTTCCGAGATTTCTGGAATATCTTCAAGTTTTATGGTCGTTGCATCAGTTGTCATGTTCTCCTCTGAATGGTCATCTAATGATCCAAACTCTACGGCCGCAACCCCTTCCGTTTTTTGATTACGATGTGGCGAAAGAGAAGCAAATAAATTTTTCAATTCTTCATCATTTTGCATAACTAATATAAGATGACGGGGTAAAATTCTTGGTATCTTTTCAGATTGAGCGAATTCTCCAGATAATTCCAAGATTTCGGATACTAAGTATTCAAGGACGGCAGTAACGTAAATAGGAGTAGCCGTCGGAATCCTTAGCTTTAGCTTCTTGTCGGATGAAGGCTGGTGAGGACCTTTAGCAAGATGATGATTAATACGTCCAATCGGAAGAACGAGACCGGTTTTTTCTTGTAAATTTTTGACCCAATCTTTCCTTGTCATGTTTGTAATTTATTTTTTGTGCGAAAAATGTGTGTCGTGTGTATTTAACGTTAAATACGCAATAACGATAACGATAAACATTACATTTCTAAGTTAACTTGTGAAATCCATGAATGGAAATAACAAGTGTGGTGATTAGTGTAACCTATGCACATAGTCACATCTTTCAAATACATGTACATGGGGGTGGTCTAGCCGACAAATTTTATCGAACCCAATTTCAAATTTCCTAATCTGTAATTCATCCAATAGGAGTGCGCAATTTTTTCAATAACCAATAAGAATGCACAAATTTCTGATCGGCCCGGCAAAACAAATCCGATATTACGAGAAATCTGATGCATAAATTTGTTTTGGACTATTAATTAAAAATGTTGGGAAGGCAATTTTACATATAACCTTGTTTTCTCACCCAATACCTTACCCTTTCCATGACTCTAGTCGGATGTAATGAAAATTCAGAATCCAAATTAGGAAATTTGAAAAAATTTGTCGGTCTAGCCATGGCAAAAAAAGTTACCGTCACATGATTCTCATCCGATATGCCCCTTAAAATTATGTACCAATCAAATCGCAGGATCAATGTGCAGCTTCTAACCTTGTTTAATATTCTATAGACCCACCCCGCGCTTCTATGACCTTTTTAATCCTATTTGGCATCGATTTGCATAACTTTGTACAGTAATCGATATCTACGCTCTTCCACGCGACGCGATTTGTAGTTTTTCCCACAATTCGTTTTTGGTGGAAAGTGATCCAGGAAGTTGTCTCATGCGTATCGACTTCGTTCCATAGGTTTTCGATTGGGTTTAGGTCGGGGGGCTGGGGTGGCCAGTCAAGCAAAGCAATGTCATTATCAGCGAACCATTTCTTTGCTTTTCCGGAGGTATGTTTTGGGTAATTATCTTGCTGAAAGATAAACTCACTATCCTCCAGCATTTTCTCCCAGACCGTCCCTAAAAAATTATTATTCAATATGTCTATGTAAACATCTGCATTCATTATTACATCAATTTTTGCAACTCGCCAACGCCGTCAACTGTCACGCAACCCCAAACCATAATCGAACCGCTACCAAATTTCACAATTGGCGTGATATGCTGGTCTTTCAACGGTCCGCTGGGGTTTCTTCCAACAATATTTTCGGCCATCCAAAAATTTAGTACTTGATTTCGTCAGAAAAAATTACGCGTCGCAATAGTCGGTCTTCGCCCACACCAATCATTGTTTTCTGTGTTTTTTTGAGGTAAGGCTTTTTTCGCTTGGTCCTCGCGAATAAGCCGTTTCTTCGGAACATACGTCGAATACTCTCCGCCGAAAGGTTAACCCCAACTCATTTTTAAGCTCACGTTGGACTTCAACGGCGGTGGTGCATTTTCTGGCGTAGATTAATCGCAAAGCATTTCGTTCGTAGTGCGCTGAAAGGGTTAGTGGGCGACCGGGTTTTGGCTTGTCGAAACTTCCGGTCTCTTCTTTCTTATAGTATATTCTATGGATGGAAGCTAAACCACCTGCAATTTCCCCGGATCGAATATCCTTGTCGGAGGGCGTGTATTCGGGCGCGTTTTTCTTGTGAAATTCGAGGATTGGAGGTAAAAATTTGATTAGTATTTGTTGCGTAGTATGGAAATCTATTTTATTTACAATAAATGAGAATTCCAAAGCATTTGTACTTAGCTTTTATAACCTTCCATTCACTAATATATTCGGTCATATTATATGGAACGCCAAAAAAATTATAAAAAATCTTTATCTTTTTTGTTAGAAGATAGGTCAAACTAATTTTTTTGATTCATCAATACTTGGCGTCCCGTTCCTTCTGTGAATCACTGTATATACATCTTTTTCAACCATAACCTAACCGGCATCGGGATTGGTATCATGTGACAATAACTTTTTTTGTCATGGCTAGTGTGTACGACCCTTATTGGAAATCTAATGCTAATGCTAAATTAACGTTAACTTAATATTCACACCTTGTAGCTTTTCTCACTTGTGTGAAAATCCATGAATGGAAGTAAATAACGCCCCGCTCATTGTCTCATTGTCAGGACCACTTGGTCCAATAAAATTTTTGTAGAGTTAACGTATTAGTATTCAGGCTTCATCTACAATGTTTGAAAAAGTACAGTGGGTCATCATAAAGATCAAAAACAGGATTGTAAATACTAGCTTCTAAGCCACCTTCATGTATTGTTTGAGTTCTGCGAGAATAGACAGTGCAGGGGATTGTCGGCGAACAGCGTCTTTCACTTTATGCCATAAATTTTCTATGGGTTCAAGTCGGACTTCGTGGAGGCTAAAATAACGTCTTGATTCTAGAAGCTTCGCGAGCAGCAGTTGCAACCTTTGATCTATGTTGTGTTGTATTGTCCTCCTGCAAAATAACAACACCACATGTGTAGGGAAACATCCTTTTCAATTTTGACTAAAAAATAGTTAGGGTTGTGACAGAGATTACGTAATATCCTTGGGGGGAGGGGAGTCTAACAGTTTCTTATGTAATATATAAAGTCACATGCTTCAAATATCTTACTTGTGGGGGAGGGGGTGGGCTCTATAGTAAAATTATATTATATGTCATGGTCCTTACCAAAAATAATTCTGGCCGGACCTTTTTGATGACCCACTGTAATAGTATTCGGTTTCATATACATGTACAATGTACACAACAGTTTGTAAACGAAATACATGTATAGTACCGGTACGTAGTAAGTTTAGAAAAAATCACCGTTACTGTTGCTAGCAATCCAGAACTATACAACAAAAAGTTCAATCAACTTTAGTTAACTTTCTTGTTAAAATTATTATCGTTATCGCTATACAATATCGATATGTACTGTACCCTAATATCTTGAAACCCTGGATATATATTTCAGTTCTGGAATATCGGGAGGTATGCCGTATTTGAATTTTGTCCATATACAGTCAAAGCTTTATATAACGATGAATCGACTCAAGCTCAAAAAAATCGTTATAATGAGCGCTAAAGAAAAAATCGTTATAAATAAATGCTTTTATTATCGTTATAGTCGTGAATTTTTCAAAGTTCGTAATAACCAAATCTCGCTGTATAAGGGGATCGTTATAGAGCCTTGACTGTATACGGATTATGCATTTAACTTCGATTTGTTTTATTGTTAAGAGCACTACTGATAATATCTTTTGTTTAAAAAAGATAAATTTTATATAACTTTTGAAATATAAATAATTAGTTTGCAAAATTGACAGTGTTGTCATTTTCGTTTCTCGTTATTACGTTCGTTTACTATGTCTAATAATCTTTGATTTCATAATTTAAATGGTATCGGTATACTAAAATTTAGTGTTACCAAAGAAAGAACAATTATTAATGAAAACCTTATGTATAAACTAACACTTGTAGACCCCATTATTCAAACCAGATTTTAATTAATGAAATGTTGACGTTAATATCGATATCGATATGATTTATATTTAAAAATAAACTGTATATACCTGTATTATTTTGGATTGAGATTAATTTGTGATAACGATAAATGTAAACGTAAAGATTTGACTGGTATAAACTGCATTTGAGTGTAGGATTCTTTCCAACATATTTGCCGATACGGTTATGGATACATGTAAATTGTCGATCTCGTACACCACTGTTCCATGAATGTTGTTCGTTAGATTTATTTCTGTCGAAGAATATTATCGTTATAAGTAAAGCTTAATAATTTAAGACTATCGTTATTACATAGCGATATCGATATAGATTATAAAACAACACCATCAACAGATGAAGGAAAAGATTTATTCAAATTATGACGACGCAACTCACAAATATTGATGGCTGGGTAAAAATCGAAATCACAAAACACATCTCTGATAGCCAAAAAACGGAAACGGAAATTTTTTCAACTGCTTTTGCTCGTGTTTACAAAAGCGAAATATGCGCTTCATACAAGTCTACTCGGATTTTGCTATTTCTACGGAATAGGAACACCGATTTCAAAAAAGCATTCGAATACTACTGCAGAATTAGGCGACGGGTTCGCATTAATACAAGTAGGAATGGACCTTATAACGAACTTTTTTTGTAAAATTTATTATAAAAAACATAGTAATTTGCTCTATAACGAACTTTTGATAATTTTTACTATTGGGACCGTTCGGTTCGGTATAGAGAGTTGACTGTATATAACTTTGAGAAAGCAGTAAAAGTTGGACACCCACGAGCATGTATAAATATGCTCAATTTCAACACGGAAAAATGAAATCATTTTGGATAATAAAAGCAGCTGAAAAAGGATTTTCACCGTTTTGTGTGCAGCCGCCTATTTTTATCAATGGGAAAGTATATTTGCATCGTGCTTGCTTTAAGATTTTATATGGTGTGGTGCAAAGGATTTGTATTCAACCACATTAACAAATATAATATTAACTTAGTGAGCAGTTAGAATTTTTCGAAAGGCGCTTATAGTGCAGCATTTGATGTGTTTAGACCATTTGCACCATAATTGTGATGTATATCGTAAGGGTAGATTTCTTGAATTTTTATTCAAAGCTGATTCGTTGCAGTTTGAACATTCTCGTCATATACAACTCACTCTCGATATAGTGAATCTCTCGTTATAATAATGAATTTTCTCAGGATTACTATTAAACTTTCGCTTGATATAGTGAAGTTATATATTATTCTCTCGATATAAGCTATAGAGAAGCTTTTTACTTGTTCCAATGTCTTCACTATAACGAGTGAATTGTATGAAGGATTCTGGCCATGTTAATAATAAGATAAGCATGACCAGATTCTTTTATTGTAACTGTTCATCTTCAGCTTTTTGTTTTTTGGGCATTATATACAGTCGTCCCTCCATATAATCACCCCTTAGTCACACCCTCTTTAAAATCACACCTTCCGGTTCTTGCTATTATGAGACATAGGAAATTTGACCTCCATATAATCACAACCTCTCTAAGATCACGCTTTTTTCTGATTCCAAGGGCGTGATAATATGGAGGGATGACTGTATTATAATTCTATGTTCATCTGTCGCGAAATTAAAGGAGGAAGGATTCTGCTAAAACATATCGATATGGTTTTCTATATTAATTTTAATTACAATAAATTCCAAGCACTTTCTATAATTAATATCTAGCTACGTCTGCAGTAAAAAAAAAAAACAAAAGATTAATGTATATTGTTCACCTAAAAAGCTTTCATTAGCAAATAAAAAATGGTTTAAAAATAATAGTAAATTTAAAGATCATTATTTTTCGGTACTCCGAAACCCTTTTCCGCATTGATATGGTAACACAGGTTGTTGACTAAATGAACTACAGGTATTATCGTTTTTTCTGTTATCGTTATCGTTAGTTCGCCTTTTTTGTTGTCTCACACACACGTAATTGTTACCAAATCAAAAATATCGATATCGAGTAATTTATTTTTGAATTTATAAATACAGTACGTATTGTATTTAAGTTCTGAAAATGGACAAACTATCAAAAACCATAATGTCTTTTATGATAACAAATCAGGATACGATAAATCAAGAAAAAGAAATAATCATTAAACTTTTAAAATTCTATGATGATGCAACCTACAAAGGATGGAGCGAGAAAATAATTCGAAATGTTCGAAACTATATTTCAAGAATAATCCACAAAACCGAAAAGGAAATATTTCAAATATTTTTAAGCCATTTCCCAAAGGATACTACAACAAAAATATCGTTAACAAAACAAGCAAAACTTCATGCCAGTTTTATCGGATTCTGCTATCATTTTGAGATAGGAACAACAGTCAATCCGAAAAAAGCATTCGAATACTACATTATTGCTGCAGAACACGGTGATGGATTCGCTTTATCGCAAATAGGAGGATTGTCTGCCACACAGTTAGAATATAATCACACTACTAGTACTAAATATATCGAGTATGTTCACAAATCGGCAAAAATTGGACATCCACATGGTGCTTACAAAATGGCTATTGTTACCACTGGTAGACTGAGAGCATTTTGGTATCTGAAAGCGGCTGAAAAGAATTTTCCTGATGGTCTCACGAAAGCTGCTCAATTATATAAAACCGGAGAATATGTAATTAAAGATGTACATCGTGCTTTGAGAATGGCGTTGTTGGTGAGACGTGTTATGGGTGAAAAGAATTTTTCTGATGGTGTTTGGAAAAAGCTCTTCGGTGAATAAGAGAATGTAACATTTTAATTTAACTTTAATTAAAATCTTTTATTTCAAATTTCGCTATTCTCGACGTAAGTCAATATGTTTGAATTAATCACTTATTCTATTCACTGAATGATTTTTTTTTGATTTCAGAATGATTAAATGGAAAAACATAATAAATCTCCCGTTTACAATTCTAGAAGACCATTAATTTTTATTTGTACATATTTTCACGAAAAGAACGTGAATCTATTTATATCAATATTTTTGTTAAAATGAACTTGTTAGTTTATGTAAACTTATAATTTAATTTATGCAAAGAATTAAATAAATTAAAAAAATAAATGAAAAGCCCATTTAACTTGCATAAATCATTATAAAATATATTTGTAATCACAACAGGCATTTTATTTTCTGACTTTATTTTTTTGGCGAATCACAAAAATGCCAGCAATTTTTGAGTGCGCCGCAGAAATAACAAAATTTTTCCAACCACACACCGATCAATACAGGTAATGTTTTAAAAGACGAACCACATGTCGGCATTGTTGAATAGGATGCATGCAGAAATTTAAATTCCCTTAGTGAAATTTATGAATGTAATTTCTTTATGAATAGAGTTGAACGATTTGAAAGAATTTCAAGACGATAAATCATTTTAATCATTGATTTTTAATCTTACTCATCTACAAGGATTTTATGAAACGTGCAAGGTGTATGTTAAGCCATAGAATAAAATAGAATTTATAACACGGGTGGATTGAATCGATCAACTATCGCTATAGCTAAACATAACCAATTAGCATAGCTATATTACATAGGCTCCATTATGCAATGCCTGGAGAAAAATTCCCCGGCGCCATTTAAGTTCCTATTAATCCGAATCCCATATGCGTCGCACATAAACTCTTTATTTCCACCTAAATTCCTCTAAATGTATCCACTATAACTGCACGTTTTGCTTGTATATGCTTCTGGCACCGACGTTATAACAATATTACCAAATTCCTCCATCTTAAATACCAATCGTTTCCTAAACCTCGCATGCGCACGACTCATCATCTTCCGAACTATCCTATTATTAAGTCTTCTTCCTTGTCGGCGTCGTGTTATCAAATGTCGGCAATACTATTATATCAAAGGTACGAGCCAACCAGAATGCAGTTTTTTGTGTACTTCATCCACTAAATTTGGATGCGTTTTCTTAAGCGAGCTTGGGCTCGTTTTATAGAGTTATGCTTTTTTGCTGGTGCTCTAGTGTGCGTGAAATAAGTGCATCCAGAGAAAGACAGAGGTGTATAATGCGGTTAATATCATTGTCGCCGAAATTGCCATAACCGACTGTGGGTGAATACCATGTGAGAAAAGTTCGGACACCAGGATCAATGGATTTCTTCACGGATAGACTTATAAATGTTCAATGTCCTAATTTTCTCTCGTATATTAATTTCGAGTCCATTTGTACTTTTCCAGTATCATTCGGCCAACAATGATTGTATTTTCGAAGTTCGTGATGAAATAGTGGCTTTGTTAAACCTTTGTGGCGTGGATGATCCGGATCACTAGCAAGAAGAACTTTATTGTGTAATAGCCTTAGGTAAAAACGAAGAGGTGATGGCAGTACTGGGCACGAATAGTAATAGTTTGGAGGTCATCCTTTTTATGGTGCACACCATAGAAGCAAAATGAAGTATGTTGTAAGGGTCTTGACTTTTTCGATTTCTTGCAATGACTTCATCTCTGGCCTGTCCTGTATAGCACTTGAAATAGCATGATCAAGCACCTCATATGGCACCTTTTCCATAAATGCCCATGCCTTTGTGTAACTAATTTCAGCCGAAGAAGAACTCTGAAAAAAAAATGCTTTGTACATGTAGTTCTATAATGCTGACGGTAATTGATTACTACTATGTTATAAACCAGTCTAGCACAACCCATCCACTGTCGAAGAAAGAATTGGGATCATTCGTACTTTCAGTGATCGTGTCAATCTGCTTTCTTTGCTCTCTTGACTCGTCGCGTTGTTTGCACTTTCTTCCTGTGTTTTTGGCTTTTGTCTTGTTTCTGTTCTCATCTGTATCTAAAAAAAAAAACTAAGTGATTTAATAATAATCAGCTAAGATAACTTGTAGTTTTTGAGCTCTTTTATTTCACAGGAGATTTAAATTCAATTGCATTGCAAGATAAACCGAACGAAATCTTTTCTTCTCACTGGATATCTGGAATTCCTAATCACCGCAAAATTAAACCCGCACCAATATGACTACAAACTCATAACTCCACGCGACGCGGTGCACAACTCTCAATTCTTTTGATTCACGAAGAACAATTCGAGCGAGTGTTTACGGGTTGATGGCGCGTGGTGTTGTTGTTGATGAACGGAAACCTAATTTTATTAGAATTGCGCCTGTGCCGTTGTATAACCCTTTTTGGGAAGTTTAGAAATTTCGAAAGATGATTACGATTAAGCATTTTTGCCCTGTAATAGCGGCTGGAGATGTTGGCAACACCAACAATCTCGTTGGTAATTATTGAAAGAGTCACAACGGCGCGAGAAGAATAATGGAGTAATTCAATCTACGCAGCCAGTGCTTCTAGATACTAACATTTGCAGTAATGACTGTGCCGAGTTACTATCATAAGTAGAAAGGGCAAGTATCCTAGTGGTTTTTGTGTGTGGAACATCTAAGAAATCCAGAAGCTAGTGCAGGTAAAGACGGAATTCCATATTTTCCTAGTCATTAATCACCTGTACTTTATTTCTCGTTTTTGGATTAAGAGACATCTAGGAGAACCGGAATTCCGCCTAGAGGTTTCCAACACAGAAACATTAGTGTACTTTCTACCTCCGGATTTATTATAAATCTGGTTTTATATATAATATTCAGTGTAGAACTTTCTTCAGCTTTAATATTAAAGCCAAATTTAAAAATAAATCCGGATCTAAGTGGTCCAAGAACAGTCATCCTGTTTTGCCTGCTAGACCTATTTTATTTTATTTTATTATAATTATTCTTGTTCTTGTTCTTTCATTTGTAAAAAGTTTCGGAGTCTTGTAATTATCACTACTGCATTCCATTTGCTTGATGATGAAATATCAGGGTGTCTTGGACACCTAAAAGACGATATAAATGGTAACGCATAGCAAAAATCGAATTAAGTACATGTGCGCACCGACGGAACTATGATTCAGAAAGAGCTGAGTCAAGCCAAGTTTGAACTTTGCTCTAATTTGACTCGTTTTTAGACTGCACTGTTATTTGTATTGCGATTATAGTCCTTTTTACATTATTGAAACTTCAAATTGATGAAGAATACGTATATTATCGTGTGTTATCTCCTACATGTATTTCGTTGTTCTAATTTAATTATTATAATGAAAGCAGTAAATATTTAAGTTTCAACAAGTCATAGTTTATACAGATTTTTTATTTAGAACAAAGTTCCTAAACTATTTATGATAGTTTTTACATTTACAGTAACTTCCATAATTATTGCGCTACAAGAAATTTTATGGGAAAGAATTTTAACGCCTCTAATACCCATAGTTTCTATGTTCATTTTAAAGCTAGTAACCTAGAGAATTCTTATATTAGAGGGTCCGTTAAAGCCATGTACCTCACGTGACACGTGTTTAATATAATTAAAAGTTGACTTTAGGGTCAGGGCTAGAGTTAGAGACAAGATTATATGTAAAATTTCTTCCCAACATTTTTTATTAGTGCTCAAGATAGATTTAAGTCTGTTTTCCGTATTTTCTCATTTTGTTGTTAGTAAATTTTGTCGTCTATCTCACAATTTACGCGGTGTTATCTTTCCGATTCTTATTTTCAAATCTATGCAATATTATGTTTCCAATTCTATGCAATATTATATGTCAAACTCTATGCGGTATTCTCAATTCTATTTTAAGCCTTGTGCAGTGTCCTATATCAAATTCAAACTTCTATTTTTCGCCCATTTGCTATTTTTCGGTCAATTATATCTTAGATTCTTTCTGAAACAATGTCCTTAAATTATATCTTACATTCTTCCTTAAACAAACACCCTTAATTGTATTTCTCGTTCTCTCTTAAAACAATGATTTCTATTATATTTTGTGTTTTCTTCAAGTTACGTTTCTTTTTTTTTGTAAATATTCTTACCCCATTATCTTTATTCCAACTTGTGTTCGATCTTAAGCATAGTACTAAACAGAAAAGTAGCGAAAACGTATACATGTATAAGACCTACGGGCTTCAATAAAAAATCAGAAAATAATTGTGTACAATTCTTCTCCAAGTAGAATAATACTTGTAAAATCCCCTCTCGTATTATGCGTTATAACGTTTGATCACTTTAATGATTCCTATAACGATACATGTACGTATTTGCGTAGATCGCCATCTTCTACATAAACCATCACTATCGAGTATTCATTTATAGCTGGGTTTTTAGTTATTTAAGACTGCGAGTGCACTTCAGAGCAGTCAGAATCTAATTCGAAAAAGTTAATTACATTGAAAAACAAAAAAGCGATATGCTTACACTTTAAAAGGTGTTCATTTTACCTCATTTTATAAACTTGAATGTAATTTGCTTTGAATTGTGTAATAATTTCAACACAACTTCCCGTTCTCCCTCTCGTTTAAATTTATTTTCTTCATGTTCCCATTTCCTACTCAATGATCCGTCCAACCAGGTTGCTTTATAAATTGATCCAAATCCTCCTTTTGCAAGATATCGATATTCAACATTGGTAACTCTTTCAAAAGGGATCCATTCGAAAAATCTTGTTTTATCAATATTATTATTGCAATCATTTATTAGACTGTCGATATCTTTGTTTCCACTAGACAATCCAACATGAGTTCACATTAATCAAATTACTAACAAACTCGCTTTTTTTTCCTCTTTCATTCTACAACACAATAAATAATTCCTCTCTCTCCCGCCTCTGCATAACCAACACCACCAAAAACGAATAATAACCCTTTACACAACAATCCACAATAAAAATTTAAAAATAATAGGGCGTTCTGTTTTTATTATATTCCGCTCACAATTACTACTTTTCTTTCACTCTATTTTCATCCTTCACTACTCCAATTACGTACCAACAACTGCAGAAGAATCCCAAAAAAACAATCAACTTTTCCAGGAATCGCCGTCTCGCATTTCTGTCATTTTGACCACCTAGCATATATGTACATAATTATTATTCATTTTCATATACAGTCTAACCCCTATATAGTCACTACCTATGTAGTCACAAACTCTATATAGTCACATTGTTCAGTTCCCAACTCATCAACTCATAGGAAAATTGACCTCCGTATAGTTACGACCTCCTTATAATCACAGTTTTTCATATCCCGAGGGTGTGACCATATAGAGGTTCGATGTAGTTAAGTATTGTTACGGAAAAAACTTTTTCTAGCATTTAAAAAACATTATTTTCACATCTCGAACAACCTTTCTTACCCAAATAAGAAGAAAAGTTTCTTCTGCTCACTTCCCTTCCCCCGTCCTTTTATTACAAAAAATAATTTACCTTTTGTATTATTGTCCTTTTACACAGCACACTCCTACACTGGAATAGAGAGGGCAAGATACACGCTTTTAGACTTCCCTCAGGACAAATAGCCTATAATGTCGAATCCATGCTCAGAAACCACAGTGCTGATGATTCTACCATCATCACCTCCTCCTTGACGTCCTAACGTGAATTCTTTGTTTACACGAGAGGCTCCAGCCCAAAACAGAAAGAAGATCTTGAAAGGCAGAAACAGTACCTCCTCTCATAATCCCAAATTATGACCTCGTCTCCGATATCAGCTCCGACATTATCTTCAAGAGACCCGGGTTGCGTTCCCTATTGGAACGATCGAGTCGCAGACTGGTCAAGCAGATTGTAGTTTCCCACAGAGACAGGCTCTGTAGGTTCGTCTTCGACCTCATCGAGTTCATCTTCCACCTTAATAGCACAAGGCTCGTGGTTCTCTCAAATGAAAATACAACGGATGAATGGGAACTATCTCAGGATATCCTCGCCTTTAACATCGTCTTCATCTGCCGACTATATGGAAAGCGATCTGCTAGGTAAATTATTTATTTGCACTTTCTTTCACCTAAACCAAATTAAATCACTTATTTTTTTTAGATACAGATGAAACAAGACAAAAAGCAAAAAACACAGGAAGAAAGTGCAAACAACGCGACGAGTCAAGAGAGCAGATTTAACATGATCACTGAAAATACGAATGTATCCCAATTCTTCTCAGAAGATCTTTCTTCGACAGTGGATGGGTTGTGCTAGATTGGCTTATGCTATTTCAAGTGCTATACGAAGCCATTGCAAGAAATCAAAAGAGAAAAAGTCATCAAGATCCTTACAACATACTTCATTTTGCTTCTAAAAAGGATAATTCTTCTTGCTAGTGATCCGGATCATCCACGCCACAAAGATTTAAAAAAGCCATCATTTCGTCACGAACTTCGAAGATACAATCATTGTTGGCCAAATAATACTGGAAAAGTTACAATGGACTCGAAGTTAATATACGAGAGAAAATTAGGACATTGGGTGTATAGAAAGTCTATCTGTGAGAATCAAGCGGAAGAAATTCATGTTTCAGCCATTGATCCTGGTATCCGAAATTTTCTCACCCACAGTCGGCTATGGCAATTTCGGTGAAAATGATATTAACCGCATTATAAGCCTCTGTCTTTCTCTGGATGCACTTATTTCACGCACCACTAGAGCACCAGCAAAGAAGCATAACTCTATAAAACGAACCCAAGCTCACTTAAGAAAACTCATTCAAAATTTAGTGGATGAAGTACACAAAAAAAACTGCATTGTGGTTGGCTCGTACTGTTGCGTTCCCTTCAATATTTAGTTAAAGGGTTTATTTTGCGACGAATGGATTGGGGGTTATGTTTAGTACAACAATCGATCGATCAAGGGAGTTTCCGCAAGGGAGGTGAAAGCTAGACTGAATTATTTACGGTTAAAGAGTTTCTTCGGGGTCCTAAAGGCTTCCTGTGGCGACTTATACACAAATCGACCTTTTCTCAACAATAAGGAGGAAAAGAAGGGGGTGTTTGGAAGAGTAGATAGAATGAAATCACTCTTGCAGCAAGAATTCAATTCGTTATAAGAAAATAGTTATTTTAACAATAATCGATACACATATGGATACGGCCTGTCCAAGAAAAACTCAATACTAAAAGGCAATTCAACAGAACTTATTGATACGGCCTGTACAAAGAAAACAAAATTAATTCGAAGAAAAATAACGGCTTATTTTAAGTGGGGAAGCATCCACTGAAGTTTAATCGAAATAATAGTGTATTCACAAGTAATATTATTATTACAAGCAAGAACTTTGTTAGTTTATTAGATTAAAGCATGTTATTGTGAGGGCTCAAAAGCGCCTTTATATATACAGGATGGAATTACTACGCTAATTCTACGGCTTTACATTAATGGTTTCTTCTAAAACTATCAAGCATTAATCGCCCAACGTCTTTCTATTGTCCAGACAATTGTCTTCCTTTTGTTAGTCGCTATCGTTACGTGCATCAATAATCGTTCAATGTTCTCGATTTCCAAATAATTGTCGGGATTATTGTCCTCTCGATAATCGTTACGTGTATTAATATTAAAAGAACGATGGAAGTTCGTAATACAATATAAATAAATAAATAAAAATCACGGAATTGAAGAATTTAATGCTACTAATGTAACAGTACTTTTGATATAGTAGTATTGCTGACATTTGATAGCACACAAATAGCATGACGCCAACAAGGAAGAAGACTTAATAATAGGACAGTTCGTAAGATGATGAGTCGGGCGCATGCGAGGTTTAGGAAACGATTGGTATTTAAGATGGTAAGATTGTTATAACGTCGGTGTCAGAAGCATACACAAGCAAAACGTGCAGTTATTGTGGAGGGATTTGGAAATAGAGTTTATGTGCGACGCATGTGGGATTCTATTACGACTCGAGAGACTTACTTGCAAGTGATTGTCCAATCCCTAAATTAAGGCTATTCCCTGTTTTCGATTAAAGTAATAGCAACCAATTAATTAAGGACAATGCTTTGTATAAATCGAACCTCGTTGTAATGAGACACATAAGAAAATTGGGTGTAAAATCTGTTATACAAAATTAGTCGCGCGTTATAACGAAAGTTATGTTTTTATATGTGAAGAAAAATTCGTTAAATGTGAATTTAATTATAACTCATTATAACATGACGAGGTCCGACTGCAAAATCATTTAATAGTGGTCATTTATTTAAAAAGTTCGACGCTATTTGATATAAATATTTATTAACATAATAATACAAAATGTAAATATGGAAAGAATGTATTTACATAGCATTCAAATTTACAAATAATGTATATTAATGGTTGAACTTTGTCGATGTCTTCCAAAGAGCTACACCTATATATTAACGAAAAATCATATTAGCACTAGTCTTTTTAACAAGTATCTACATTAAATTAAAATATAAAATCAGAACCTAATCCTATGACCGCAAGATAAGCAAAAACAAGCGGCCATCGATATAAAACGTTTGTCCAAACATACGTCTTACTGGCCTGGCGAACCTCATTTAGCGTTTGAATTACTCCATCTTGAGATAGCGGCGGCGGTGAGGCTAACTTTTAATTTATCATTAATTTATCAAAACCATCCAATTTAATTTTAATACAGCAAAATAAAAATAAATACATTATCAGGTTCAGGTTCAGGTTGGGTGGTATTATCGAGTGAAATGGTTATAACTGTCGTTGTTGAATTATCACTGTTAGTATCCGGTTGTTGATGTGATAATTGTATGCTTTCGTCAAAAGTTATTGTTGATATTTTTGAATTATCACTGTTAGTATCTGGTTGTTTATGCGATAATTGTATGTTTTCGTCAAAATTTATCGTTGATGTTGTTGGTTCAGTCATTTCTGGTTCATTGTTATTGATGTTTTCTATTGCCATCTTGTTAATTTTATCAAATGAGTTCTTGAATACTAAAAACAAAAGTGTATTTTTATTGGAATATCTGAGAAGTCATGTAGTAACGGGGTTTTCCGTCGAGAATGTAGGACAGTACACAAGTAAAAATAAATTTTAAAATGAATGGACGAATGAAAATCCGGTTTTTTCCTGGTATCATTATTCCTTAATATAGATAATTTTTATCTTTTTATATCTTATGTTGAATATTTTTATATCGATAGTATTGTTGTTTGTGATACATGCATGCAGAAGGACATTTGGTTTGTTGATTTTTCGAAAGTAAAAGTAAAAAAAGCAAAGGCGGCACGTTTTCATTGATTAGATCCACGCACAACTATCTTTTAAAAGCGTCAAGAATAAATATTTAATCGATAAAATTGAAATTTCAAGATTTATTTAGTTTCTAGATGGAAATAATGACAATTAATAAAGAAAACGACGGTAATTCTTCGTCTTCAAAAAATCAGTCAACACAGATAGCTATCATAACCGATAATACTGCAACTAGTGCAAATAATTCAAGCATGCTGATTAGTGACGAGAATACCATCACTATTGAAAATGATACTTCTCGTCACAACATCGAGAACACTAGCGAAAAAAGTCGATTTGATTCTCAGGAAACTATTGTCGTTTTACCGCCCGAACAACACGTAAGAAGAATATTTTAGCTATATACGAGTGTGTGTTTGCGTTTTACACGCGTAAGTTTATTTATCTATAATGACAGGATCAAGAGACAACAACACAACAAACCTGCAATTATAACTTCTTTTCAAGAATATCACATCAAAGAAAAAACTTCGGATACCTTATTTTGTTCATTGTGTTTGGTAATTTTTATTTGTGATCTCTTTCTAAAATCATTGATCATTCTGTGCTAAAACACGTTCATTTGATCTAATTGAACCAACACAGGTTTATGCATTGGAAGCATAATTGAAAAATCGATTAATTAGAAATATTCATAAAAATTGAGAGAAAAGAATTAACGAATATATCATGTACATTTTTTCGTACTTCGATTATGGCGGGTTCGCTATATCAAAACAAAATTTTACTTAATAACTTGATAACATGACTGGATCGGCATACGTATCTTTATCGTAAAATGTATAATTTGGGGAGGAGCACTCATATTAAATATATCAAATCCACGTTTTAGTGACAAAATTTGCTTGGTTAAGCTTAAAAAATCTTAGTTTTATATTGAATAAATAATAAAATGGAATCTGAAACCCTCTAAGTACACCCTCCTTGGTACCATATTAAAAAAAGACAGAGTGTGCATTTAGAGAAGGTGTGCATTTATAGAGAGTAACTTATATAAGTCTGGACTAAGCCATAGCATACATTTAGGGAGGGTGCACTTAGTGAGGTTTCTGTATTGTGTAAACGCTTTTACTATTGTCTTGCCAGGAATTCTTGAAAAAGTTGAATCACTAACAATCTAAAGCGCTGTGCGAATGAATTACAGAAACCGCTGTTTACCTTGTCTTGATTATCAATCTTGCTTATTTATGACAAAGAACAGGATCTTTTATTGATTTGCAAGCATAGTCTTCTTGCAACCTCCATTCGGTGTTTAAATTCAAACCTGCGCGTCCAATCAAATCACAGGATTTTTGAAATCGAGCGATTTGATTGGACGTACAAGTTTGTTCAGAAAGTCATGCCAAAGTCTTTTATTGCAAATACGACTTTAAACGATTGACATTTTAGGCCGGGCAAAGTTATCACGAGAGTGGAATAGTAGTTAATTAATTGGAAGTTGAGAAAAAAACTCCTTATTAAAATTCCCTTGAAACTTTAAAACTTTTTGGTGTAGTTATATTAATTATCAGCATTAACTCTGTCTTTTTTGCTCTCAGGTGTGCTGAAAATTGGTTTGCTGACTCTCGGATTTATCCTTAACGCTACGTAATTAGCGTTAGTATATCGATATGACAATTGATTTTCTATTCACGAACAATGTTTTTAGTATAACAAAGTATCGTAAGAGAATTGATTTCATTAACATGTAAATTTGGAAAGGATGAGAGCTTGGTGAATTGAATTAAGACTTTTGATAACTACCTAATTTTATTTCCATGAATATTATTATATAGTACATGTACAAGTAAAATGAATATACAAAATTTGTCTTATCTATATCGATATGTCACAATAATTACACGAATATATAATAGTTGTCGTATTTGCTGATGATTTCCTTGACTTTCCAAAAACATTATTAAATGTCGAAACAATCTTTTTTTGGATTCTTTCTCGCTGCTTTTTCTTTTTCTTAGCTTTCTGTTTTAGCTTCCCTAAAGTGTCTGTATTAACAACTTCTGCATAATCAGCGCCAACACCACCACCGACCAGAGTATCAGAGTCGCCAGCGAATCTTGTGTCTATCTCTCCGTGACAAGATGATGACTTTTTAGGATTATTTGAAACCTCTGGGATTTCGTCCAAATCATTGTTCGTGCTAAGATTTGAGGTCCCGTCGTTTGTTGATTTGGTGTCTGTTTGAAAAGAGTTTGATAAGAAATGAGTCTTGAGATCGAGAATAATGCAATAATTCATACATACCATCATTATTCACGTTATCATTATTCGTTAAATCTATTGAACCATTTCCAGAATGTTCGCTTGATATTAACAAACTTTCATTTGTGCTTCCTTGACTATTGCCATTTTCGCTATTATTATCATCATTACCTTGGATGTCTTTATTTTTATTATTAATGTAATCGGCTTCGTCCGCTTCTCTAAACGCTACTGTCTCGACCGTATCTCGATTTTCTTCCAAGTCATTAACCCACTTTTTCAACACCTCATATATTTCTTTAGCGGTCGGACGCAACTCTGGTTTTGTGTTCCAACATCGGTCTAATAGATCGTCGAAACATTTTGGCGTGTTAGTAATAACGAGAGTTGCCGGCCGTTTTCGTAATAATTGTTTAGACGATTGAGATGGTGCATCGATAGTACAATTACGCTTTTGAATGCTAAAAAAGGAACTCGAATATCTTATTTCCCAAATCAACATTCCCAAATCGTATACATCCGATTCTTTGGTGCACAATGGTCTTCGTTGACTGATTGCGAAATCAGAAATATGAAATTTATTTGCCGTCTTATCCCATAAAATATTTCCACCATGCAGATTTCCGTGTACATACGAATGACTATGTAGAAAGTTCAGTTCCCAACTTATTTGTTTGCATATTTTCAATCTATCTAGCCAATTCAACGGTTTATTGTATTCTGGTGGTTGTTGTTTTAGATAGTCTCGTAAGTTGCCACCATTCGCGAGTTGGATTACAAGAATAATATAATTTTTTTCTGGGTTCTCCGGAGATATTGATGTTGTAGATGTAATTCCAAGACATCGTAATAATCCACCGGATTTCCAATGTTTATAGTAAATTTCAAACTACAAAAAATCAAATTGTGTTAGCATGAGAAAAAAACCTACAATAATAATCACAATTAATTACCTTTCTTAATAACTCTTCATTAATTTCCACCGAAGCTTGATCAAAAACTTTAAGCGCCACATTAACAGGCCCACTTCTCTTTCTCTTCCAAACACCATTCTCATTCACCGTCACCTTCACGCCATCCAAATATACAGCCGAAAATACACTACTAAATCTTCCACTCCCCACATACTTGACATCTGCAAACTCCTCAAACGGGATATACTCCAAATGCTCGTCATATGATTCACTTTTCTTCTGTGTCTCTTTGACAAATTGCTCGATAATTTTGTTGTTGTTTTTGGTAGTGGTGGTGGTGGTGGTGGTTGCTATTGTCGAACTTTTACTAGAATCAGGTAGTAAAAGAATTTCGGGGTCGCAGGTTTGACACCATGCGATATTTGTATTGAAACGATTACATGTTGAGCATGTTCCGTAGTATTCGACTCTTAGAAGGCTGTAGATATCGGTGTCATCGCCCAAGAATTCTTGTTCAAATAAAGATGAGGACGATGAATTATTATTTTTATAGTCATCGTCCAGACTTATAAATGAAAGCGCGTCAATTTCAGTGTTATTGTCATCATCGAATAACGAGTCCTCGTCATGTATTTGGGAATCTGATATAATTTTTTCTTTGTTCATTTTCTATTTGTTATTGTGCATATACATGTATAATTTTCGATAAGAATGATAGTTCTTATATAAAACCAATGTCCAAGTGATCAGCATATAGTTTCTCTATATAGACATGTACTTGGCAAAGTTCATAGTTGTAAATCTTGTCAAATGTAACATCTAACATGAGGAGAGGATACTTGTTGTTCCAGGCGATCATGAGTGCATTATTCTATGCATCCAGTTATTATTAGCGTTAGTTATTATTGTAAGATAAACAAACTAATCGTTAAAAGTGTCACCTCATTGTTTGTTTCATTCTTTGTCAATAAAAAGTATGTGCTCTAACTAAAAAAGGTAAAGTAGGTTACAATCATTATACATGTATACAGTTTAGTCTTTGTTGGGATTTATATAGTTTGTCTATCGCTATGTATCATAGCGATATCACATGTATTTGAATAGTGGCCACCAACGTTTTGGTTGGTGAAATTATTTCACGTTCAGAATAAATAAGTGGGAAGGTGTATGCGCATTCTGAAATGGTCGATATCGATATGCGATATTCTTTATACGTACGTACCGACAAAAAAGATATGATTAACACGGAAGATGGTTTATCAAGTTTAGAGTCCCAAGTATTGTTCAAATAATGATAGTTTGATCGATATTACGTTCACTACAAGAATCTTTGCGTAAGTTGAGAAATGTTAAATTAGTGTTCTATTTCCCTTTTTAATAAACGACTTAGAATCAGTTATTGCTTTATTGTGATCACTGTCATCAATTTCATTTAATGAAAAACAAAAGTTTGTTATATTATAAACAGAACAACATAGCATACATACGAAATGTCAATAGAACAGAATAAACGAAGTGCGAAAAACACAAGTTTAATATATTATAAAAACAGAACAGCCTATATAAGCAAGTGTGAAATTTTGAAATTGAGTTTTTTTATCTTGTTCCGCATCTTTCCTTTCTCTCTTCTCTCACATTACCCTCTACCCAACCTTTAACTATTGACTCTTAACCTTTTACCATCATTCATCTCTCTCTTCCTTTAACTATTTATTTGTTTATTCTATTCGACCCTCTCATAAAAATAACCATAATATCGTTATTATTTTCACACGCTTAAAGAAAAGGAAATTTTTCTTTAAGCATAGATAATAAAATTGAGAGTAGAGAAAAATGATGTCGAGCACTTTATTTCAAGAAAGCATTAGCAGTAACGACAGCTTTCAATGTTCTACCACGCCTTTGTCGTACTTGTCATCGTCACCGTCCTCTTCTTCTTTCGTGACTACTCTCTCTTCTTCCACTTCCACTACCACTTCCACCAACGGACGAAAAAGAAGTTTGGTATACTATGGTGATCGGTATGTTTGTGTTTGTGTTATGTCTATCAGTTATTCTTGGTCAATGATGGAACGTAAATTTTTATAGATTCATTCCTCTAAGAAACAATGAAATGTTTACGGAATTCGAAAGAATGCAAGGAAGAACTGACCGTCCAACCGCTAAAAAACAAAAGAAAAATATTCTAGAATCTGAGGAACAAGTTAAAGGTAATTCACCCCTCATAAATTAAAATTATAGCAAACCTTTGGTAATCTTATAATAAACAAATAATTTTCATCCAGCCGAATTAGAATCCATTAGAATGGACATCCTCGAAAAAGCAATGTTTCCATGTACCAACAACTACAACATTGATAACTTATCTCGAAGCAATGTCGGCGACAGTGCATCATTATCATTATCGTCGTCTTCCTCCTTGAGCAACCTATTCTCTTTTCGCTCAAAAGTCAATAACACTATTGGTGGTGCTGCGGTAATAGACACGCCATTTCGACCAGCTTACTGGACTACGCCGTTCTCGCCTCAAATTGAAACCATTTTACAAACTTCTCGTAAGCCGTTCCGAATTATTAATTCGAGTCCTTATCAAATGCTAGCGTTCTGTGATGAGTTGACGTTAAAGGTAATAAATCTTGTTCCAATCGCTTGATGTATATATTAATCAATTTTATTAATCATTCTCCTTATGTAAAATAGGATGATTTTTACCTTAACGTAGTCGATTGGTCTGCGAAAAATGTTCTTGCGCTGGGATTAGAGCATAGCGTGTATTTATGGGATGCTAGTTCTTCACAGGTATTTTCTTGTCTTTATATTATTTTAATTCGAGTTACATTCTTTAATTTATTACATACATATCATATAAATAGATGACGAAACTCTGTGAATTGGAAGAGTCTAGTACTATAACTTCAATAAAATGGAGTCCTCAGGCAAAATTATTTTTATCCTGTGTATATTCAAATTTGTTCCGAATAACTAAGTATTTTTTTGACTTTGGATAAATAGGGTGAGCGTATTGCTATAGGTACAGCCGACGGGCTGGTACAAATTTGGGATCCTCAGAAGCTCGTTCAAATCAGGGATATGAGTGGACATTGTGCCCGAGTAGGTTGCCTAGCATGGAACGGCAACCTTCTCACAACTGGAAGTAGTGATCGCCAAATATTTCATCGAGATTCGAGAAGCACAAGAAATTATACCCAGCATTTGTCGGGACATTATTCTGAGGTCCGTTTCTTTGTTGCATAATTTTTTGATCTAATTCATAATATTATAACTGAAATAACGAAAAATGATAGATTTGCGGTCTTAAATGGAATCACCAAGGTGACCAACTAGCAAGCGGTGGAAACGCCAACGAACTATTTCTTTGGGATCGCTATAGTCAGATACCGATCAAACGACTTGAAGGTCACAAAGCCGCAGTACGAGCCCTCGCTTGGAGTCCACACACGCCGAATCTGTTGGTCAGTGGTGGAGGACATCTCGATCGACAGATAAAGTTCTGGAATACTGATGATGGAAAGCTGTTGTCAACTCATAATGCAAAATCACAGGTACCAATTTTAGTTCTTCAGTCATATATTTCTTATAATGCAAGCAATCAATTTATTTACGGTGTATACGAAATAAAAGGTCTGCAATATCGCCTGGTCCCCTCGCTCCAACGAACTCGTCTCCACGCACGGCTGGTGGAAGAACTACGTCGTCGTCTGGAACTACCCCGACATGAAAAAAATAATCACGTTAAAAGGTCATTCGACTCGTGTGTTGTACTTTTCAATGTCGCCAAATGGTGAAGATATAGTCACCGGGGCGGGTGGTGATGATAATACGTTGAGATTCTGGAAAATTTTTAATGTTCCTGCGAAGCCTAAAGTCATTCGAGAATCGGCGTTGAATCCGGTGGGGAAGATTCGTTGATTCTATTTATTTATTCCTATTGTTTTAAATTAATTGTCGTATTTATTAGTTTGTATATATTATTAGTTTGTATATATTAGTCATCTAGAAATACTTGTAGATATTATTTATTGACACTGTATTATATTTGTATATAGATGAAATTTCGGAATAATAAGTTAACTCTGACATCGTTAACTATCCCAAGACTATAATTTCAAGTTTATCCATAAAATTCACACTGCAACAGTGTATGTCTGAAATATGACAAATTGGAAGGGACAGTGGCTAATACACAGTGAAGACATTTCGTCATCCTGTGTGCGACAGTTATGTTAGTCTTGCTCGGCGATGAAAGTTCGGGACGTGTTGATTAGACGATCAAAAACCTTGATGATCTCTGAAAGAAATTTTGTGCACCACGGAAGGAAAGCAGCAGATAAACCTTTCAAAGATAATTACAACTATCCGTGTTATCGTCACCACTGACACAAATTGGTACTTTATTATTTCTATTTTGCACAAGTGAAACATTAAGGTGTGAAAGGTTGATCAATCCCGATTATAAATACAAATAAAGTACAAAGTCCTTTACAACGACCGCATTGGATTGGCACTTTTGAGCCGATATATAGTGCTTATATTACAAACCTCGGTATATAGGGAGTTTTTAAATAGTTAAAAATCGTAAAAATCGGGATATCAATACGGTGTAAGCCGAATCCGATGTATACAGCGCCATTGTAAAGGACTTTGACTGTATACTACGAACTTTTTGGTATGAATAAATATGCGCAACATAGTTTCGACCAGCATTATGAAATTACGTTAGTTTTGCATTAACTTTGCCAGGAAATTCATAGGCTCACGCGTTCCTTTATAAAGTACGTGTTATTCAAGGTTGATGTTTGTTTCAAATGTCTAAATCAACATCCTTGCTTCCCGCATCTTTGCGTCGTCAAAGAGTGATACTTCACATTGATCTTGGTCTGTAGTTTTTTTTAATAACCATAATGACGTTAATATCATGAAAATAAAATGCTTCCTTTTTTCTGAAATTTGATTAATGCATTTGTTACTTTTTAAGATTGCTTTTACGCCCAGGTAGGTAAGTTTAATATCTTTAATTATTTTTGGTAATGTTTTGAACGTATCGGTATGCAAAGAATTCTCGTTGTGCTACTATAATATTAGAACAAGTTCGACTTGGAATTTCTGCAGAAGAGCCATTGGCCGTGCAGCAATGGCAAGGCTTGATAGCGGGTAATTACTTTCTATCACTATAAAAACACAACGCAACGCTAGTTTACCTTAATAAATTAATAAAAAAATCGTACATAGTCAACTACATTGCACGCAAAGCTGGAATTCAGAGACATTGGACAATCGAGGAAGCGCGTGCAAAGTGTCCTAGTGAGTACCAATTTTTATCATTATAATTATTAAGAATAATAACTTTTTTCATGGAATTACAAATCGTCTTACTATATTGTTATGTTTGTAAAAAAAGATTTGAAACTTGTCCATGTAGCTACATACGCAAACGGCGAATCTGAACCAAAATACCACCCTAATCCACAATATGCAACTCACAAAGTATCTCTTCACCCGTACCGACGAGCGAGTGCTCGGATCTTTGAGATATTTCAAAGATTTTGCCCGAATACAGTTCAGCGTGCTAGTGTTGATGAAGCGTTTATTGACGTGACCGATCATGTGAACACAAAATTAACAGAAAGATTTTTTAGTCCAACGTCATCGTCTATTAGTAATGAGGAAGATGGTGATTCTGTTGAAAAGTCACCACCCGAAATTAATTAGGAATTGTGTATACTTCGTCATCATCAACAACTCAAGATATTGTCGCGTCATCTGCTGATGACGTTCAGAATCAAGAAGGGATGTCCTTGCCATTGTTATCGTCGTCTTGGGATGATTGGCAACTCGCGATTGCAGCTGAATTGTCATTAGAGATTAGAGAAACCGTTTTCAAAGAATTAGGGTATACATGCTCGTCTGGTAAAGTCTCAAACAAAATAAGTTTTTACTGTATACGATTAAATTTAATTATATATGGTGAAAATATAAGGTATTGCGCATAACAAGACGTTAGCAAAACTATGTTCCGTATTAAACAAACCGAACAACCAGGTATATTTTATATCTTATTTCATTCGATTCATATCATATTCCATTGCATCAATTTGAAATTCTTTTTTAAAAAAATGTAGACCATTCTAAGAAACAGTGAAACAATGAATTTCATGGAAACAATTCCTTTTCATAAAATTCGTAAACTTGGCGGGAAATTAGGAACAGAAGTCGAGAATGTATTGAAAATTGAGACTGCTGGAGATTTATGGTAGTGTGTTTAGTTTACAATATTACATGTTTATATATATCATGAATTAACATAATGAATTGCTATTAGGAAACTTTCAACAGAAGAGCTACAATCTAAATTTGGAATGACGACTGGGGTTTGGTTGTATAATATATGTAGGGGCATAGATACAGAAGAAGGTATATAATAGCTTACCCACTTCGAATTTATTTACTCGTCTTGTTTTGAATGAATCGGTCGATAAAAGAACGATTTGTGATAAATATTAATCTTAAAAAAAATATTGTCAAAAAGTAACCCAGAGAAATATCTTAAAATCAATGATGGCCTCAAAATCATTTCGACCTCCAGTAACGAAAATGTCTCAGATTGAACACTGGGCAAATATTTTGGGCGTCGAATTATACACTAGAGTTAAAGATGATTATGAAATTAATCAACGATGGCCAAAAAATTTGTTGGTGAGTTTTTTTTCTTTACATTTTTGTTTCTCAAATAATGTTTAATCACGGCAATGAAGGTTAACTGATTTTTTACTTCAATACTAACTACTACTTTCATTATTAGATTCATTACAGATGCAGCGCACATCCAACTTCCCGATCCAAATCCTCATTTTTTCCACATCGCATAAGTCTGACTTCCCCAGACGTCATCTCGAGCAAAATATTAGAATTGTTCAAAAATTCGAACTACGAATTTCCGTGTTCTAATTTTTCAGCTAGCGCTACTGGACTGACAAAAGACGAGAGTTTGGGAACTATGGATATCTCAAAATTTTTTTTAAAACGTAGTACTACTCACAACAGTGTTGATTCTGAATCTGGAGGTGGTAGTGACGTGATAAATTCTTGCAATATTGAGAAATATGATCCTGCTGAAGAAGGTCCGATAAAAAGCTCAACAACAAATTACTTGAACATAGCAGCAGAAGTAGCGACAAATGAAAGCACGAACCAGTGTAGTAATAAATTTCTTGCCACCGCAGAAAATATTCATAGTTCTGAGATGTCCGAGAATAATAATAGCACTCCAACAACAAAATCAAATCAGAAAAAAATAATAAATAACACGATAGTTAAGAAAGCTGTTTCTGCCAAAAAATCCATTTCGAGAAATGCTTCTGCTGGTAAAGGAATACTCAAATTTTTCGATAGTGCAACGGCTCCTAGCGAGATAAAACCTGCAACTGGTGATTCTCACACGAAAAAGATTATCACCGATACATTATTGGATAACAATAATATTATTACTATTAATAGTACTGCTACTGTTGAATCATCATTAACACAATGCCAAAAATGCGATAAAATGATTTCTCCGGATCATATATCTGAACACGAGGACTACCATTTTGCATTCGACTTGCAACGTGAATATCGTAGTATTGATCGAAAAAGAAATCAGAATCAAGTAATGAGGGAAGAACGGAAAAAACGTCAGAAAGTAGAATTGGCAGATTTTTTTGAGAAATAGTTAGAATAACTATTTATAATCTTGTTTATTATTATAAACAGGAATAAAACCAATCCATGCAACAATTTTTATAGTTTCTATATAATGCCAGCGTTGTTTTAATAATAGTAGTTAAAGTTAGTAGCGAACCCAAAGAATAGGCACAGTCATCGCCTTTGGGTAGGTGATTATGCCTCCCATGCAAGCTCACAAATATATTTTATCATTTATTACATATGTTTTTATACAATGTTTCTGTCAAACATCTTCCTGTACATGAGGCTAGCGACCACCAAGAGATAACTTGGATATCCGCTGACTCATAATTTTACCGCCAATGCCTGGGCAGCCATGAAGCTATGGCGTCTCTCAAGTCCGCCAATGCGCAGCAAAGTCAGTAGATCAAAGAAAGTTATAAATTATAATTAAAATTACAAGATAATTAATATTGAAAATAAATATAGATTTAAAAAATATTTTTAATTATAATAATTTTAATTTATTTTAGTTATATTATAATAAATATTTATTTTTCAATAGAAAGTATATATTATTAATCAAATTATTTTTAGAATTTTTATTTGAATTTTCATTTTCATTAAAAGTAAAATTTTTATTATTTATTTATAAATATTACTTGTATTTTAGTAAATAATAAAAATTTTCTTTTTAACAATAATTTTCTTTTTAATAACAATAATTATTTAATAATTATTTTGTTTAGTTAATAAACTAATATTTGTTTATAATTTTTTATTTTAATTAAAAAGTTATAATATTGTATTAATAACTTTTCATTTTAATTGCAAAGTTATATTTATTGAAATTAATAAAATAAAAAAAATTAATATTATTTGTCAATAAATTAAGAATTAAAAAATAATTATATTTATCTTATTATATTTAAAATTTCTAAATTAGTTAAACAAATAAATATATTATAATTCATATCATTTATATAATTATCAAATAATTTTTATATAATTTATATAATTTTCAATTTTGATAATATATTAAAAACTAAATTATAAATACAATAAATTAAGTTTTCTCTTTTAGATTTATAGTTTAGTTTGTTAATTATATAAAGTTATTAAGATTTAAAATCAATCATTTTTATTATTAATCTTTAATTTTGAATATTAATCAATTAGCTTTTGATCAATTAGCAATTATTAAAATTATATTATTATATAATAATATAATTCTAGATTATTAAAATGTAATAAACTTATTATTTTTAATAATATCGAGTTTATATGTATTCTTTTTGATATTAAAAATAATATTAATTAATAAAATTAAAGTATATAACTAAAGATATATATATATTAATCAATAAATTTAATTATATAAATAAAGTACATGAAATTTATTATTTAAAATTTCAGACTAATCTATATTTTTGACTATAAATAATTTGTATTATATATATATAAACTAATTTTAGTATAATATTATCTTTTTTACTTATATTCTAATTATTTATACTATTTTTTATCTAATTTAAATATATAAAAAATATATAAAAAATTCAAAAAAAATAAAATCAACAATAATAATAATAATATAAAATAATTAATATTAATAATAAATATTCAAAAAGTTATATTATTGAATTATTAATTTTATAATTTGTAATATTTTATAAATTTATAAAAATTATATAAAGAACTTAAAATATTTTATAATTATATCATATATTATTAATTATTATATTTATTTATTTCAAGTAAATATATTTTAACCAATTAAAAATCTTTGAATTTATTTATTTATTTTTTTTTATTTTTCTACTTTTTATATTTAATAAATTAGAACTCTATTTTTAGTTAGTAAATTTATTTTTTATATTTTTTTCTTATTTTTAATATTATATTTGTATAAAAAATATATAAATATAAGTTATAGTTAAGTCTTAACTCAATATATTAAAAATATAATAAAACAAATATCTTTTAACACTTAAACAATTTATTTTTCTCTTTTAACTATATATTTTAAAACTT